AAATTCTTAACTATTAAAATCACAAAATGTAAATTATAAATTCAAACTCTATATCAATTAAGATCAATTAATCATCAACTATTAAATGAACAGAATCAAAAATGACAAAAATATTTACACTTTCACAAACCTTTCAATGAGAATCTTCACTGTCACTCGAATACGACATGTAGTAAAATTTTAATAGAAAAATCGCGAGAAAGGCTAGGGATACTGGCGATCAGGGCCGATGAGCATTGGTTCAACGATCGTTCCGCGAGCGAATCTTGATTTATGCGCGCGCCACCTACATAATTCATATTCCTTAGATACAGTAACATTTCAAAGGCGGCTAAGTCTCACAGTAGGAAGTTTGCGATCGTATTGGCCCGCTTTCTTCTTATCTCTTAACGAATATATACTTGATACGAATGAGTCATTGTGATCGTCGATACTTGGATGTTGCAATGGATGAGAGATCGTTTATCTTCTTTAATCGTGCTGTTCTTTTTTTTTCCTTTTCATGTGATTCGATTATAATCTACTGCTACTTTAATCAATTGAATTTTTTCTTCGATTGAAATTTTGTTGTTTGATTGATTAATTAATTAATAAAAAATTTTTAAATTTCAAATTATGAAATTTTTGCCCGTCCAAGGATTTTGTTTCATTAGATAAAATTTTACTTCGTTAACATTGGTTGAGATTTTATTTTATTAAACTGGTCAGAGCTTCTTTGACAATTGGCCAATATTTTCTTTTGTTAACTGTTCCTTTGTTTCGATAATTGGTTCTTATTATCCATATCTAATTATCAATTCTTTGTATGTTACTTTCATTTTGTTCTAATTATAAATGTGATGTTATTATATATATATATATCTAAATGAAATAAATCTTTAAAAATAATAAATATTTCGATAACGAAATATTTCATCAATTAATAAAGAGAAGAAATATATTTTATAAATATATCATAGAAATGTGAAGATTTGCATTTTTCTTATAATTTGTTGTAATTAAATATTGAAAGTTAGCTTGTAGAATGTGCTGAAGATAAATATCAAAAGGTAGAAAAGGAAAAATCTTTCAATTAGAGAATTATTGCAGCAAAGAGAATACGATCTGATCTAAGTATCGCATGTTTCTCTGCATTATTTGAAAGCCAGATTATTATGATGATGAGTTATACATTACACTCATCGTTTATATTCATCATTTAAAAATAACAAGATAAAGTCACGAAAACATCCATCTTTCGTTCGCTGATTGTCTTTCACAAAAGTAAGTTAACTTCTTAAAACCAATTAAAAACAAATTGCCGTAATAAATTATATCTTGGACTTTCATCTTTTGTTGTTAAATGTTGAAACTTTTCTCTTCATTAAATAATAAAACTTTTATATTAAAATGCAAATATTGAAAATAGACAATATATGCATTTTAGTAATCAAAAAATTCCTTTTTTTTTTTTTTTTATTTAGTCTTCTATCACGTTTGCAAAAAAAAATCTACGCAATTTCATGCAACAATTATACAACGATAAACAATTTTAAAATTGTTACTAGTTTCGCTTTATGTACGAAACGAATTAAAAGTAACTCGTGCAAACGAAAAACTGAAATATCGATCGAGTCGATGTCCATTTCGCCCCATAGAATTCGTGCAATCATATCCGTCTTTTAGGGAGCCCAATCAATAATAGTTTGTTCAACTCACGAATTTCCATGGACACGGCGTAAACACGGCCCACAGTGTTTTAGATATTTAGATATATCCTTTTGATTTCACTTTTTAATTCACTTTTAAAAATGAAAAAAGTTTATCCTAACGAAAATGTATTTTTATGCAATTATGAAAAAATAAAAATTTGCAAATTATCTGAGTAAAAGGAGATCGTGTCTTAAAGAAGGATTGAGAGACACTGATACAGTGTGTATACAAGGTGTCCTCTAAGAAATATTTCACAAATTAGATCTAGAAACAGTGAGCAGGAAAAAATGTTGTTTGGAATATGGCTCAATTGACGTTATTATTAAATTTTCTTGTGAAAAAATTATGAATTCATTTCTTAAATTTTTCTTGTTTCATTAACAAATCAAACCCCTTATAATTATTCGTAATATCGAAGAATTTATTATCGATTATTGTAAATTTCGTTAATAATAATAATAGTCGAATTTTTTCAGAAAACTCTGACCGATTTCTTTTCTTTTCTAATTTTTGTCAGACTTTCTAGAAACATGAGTTTTTATATCACAAGAAATATATATATATACAAATATGGAATAAAGGAGACAGGTATTAACACAACTGTCTATTGTCCGTTGTTGCATTACCGTGCCACATGTAATCCAATATTTCCGTGTAATTTAAACTCTTCTCGTGTGTGTGCAGTACATTGCACGATGAAGAGGTAATTTCTCACCATGATGTTAGCACATTCTCTAATTGCAGAAAATTTCATTGGCGTTTAACACCCTCGCTCAAAATTGACATTTATCATATTTGTTCAAAAATTAATCATTAATACCTATTATTGGATAATTTAAGCGATAAGGAAAGTTCACGATATAAATATTTAATCGAAACAAATATAAATAAATTCAACTCAACATTTTGAAATATTCCAAAAAATAATAAAATTTTATCATTCTCGCCTTTCTTTGTCTAAACACGAAAAATATTGTAATTTTTTTGATTATATAAATGTTGCAATAATATGTGTAAAAATTATTATTAGCGATACAAATACATTTATTGTTGTACATTTAATTATTTTAATAACACAGGATTATTTTAATTACGAAAAGCAGAGCGCGTATTTCCATATGAATGAACAAAGCCTGACATATAATATAATCAAAATGACCCAGTTTTAACGGGTCACACGGTATAGTCGTAAAAGTGTATCCCGCTAAATGTGCGTCCCTGAATGCAAGTGCATTGACCTATGTGCCACGTCTACGTAGGTTTCCTTCCCACCCTCTTCTTCACCCTAACGTGTTTCTTTTATTTTCCTCTATCGGTAAGTTCCTTTTTACCTCGCTGATTTCGGGCTCTACGTTTGCGTCGGTAATTTCTCCCTTCTTTTTTTTTTTTACGTTGCGACAAAAAGTATTCGTCCTTTCTCCGTCATTAATTCTCTCTCTCTTTTCCACCGCGTCGATCGATTATCTTCTTCCTTTCCTCGCGTCGAATATCGGAAGTAATTTAGATTCTAATGGATCGGGAAGAAATGAATGCAGTTCGCATCACGAATGGGTAAGAATCGAGCGATTCTTATTAAGAAAGAAATTTGCGATACGATCGTTTGAACGCGAGATGTTCGTAGAAATATTTCTACGATATTGCGAATTTAAAAGAGTTTTGGAAGAAGTGATTTTCTTGGAAGAAATTTGATGCCGAAATAAATGACAATTGTTATAAAAATGAGATTGAAGAATCCTTTATTATTTTTATTATATTAATAATTTATGAAGTCTGATAATATTACGTACAATTGAAAAGTAAATCAATTTTTTAATTTTAATTACTGTGAGAGATTACTAGATAATGTAAGAAAATCTGCAAAGGAAACATCGTGTTATATTGTACGATTTTTAATTCTAAAAATTTTTTGCAATAAAATATTAAATAATTTAATTAGCAAAATATTTTTTAATTTACCAATTATTTCCAATTCTAATTTTAAGAAGTAAAAAATAAATGCGACAAAATTAACTTAAAAACTGTGACATAACCTAATTTCCATGATAATGAATCTTCCATATTTATGTATGTAACGTGAACTATTAATCAAAACTATTAATCATAAATTATTGTTAACATTCAACATAAGTATAATTCTCTCATCGTTTCAAATTTTTCCTTTTTTTCAATTTGGCCGACTTTGCCAAGTATTTTTTTCTTCTCACTTTTCGTTACTATTCATCATTATTCGTTTCTATCTTTTTTTTAATAATACAATCTTGTCTCGTTTCTTTTCATTTGAATTTTATCATCTTAACTCGTATGAAAATAATATAGAAATAGAGAAAAAAATATCTTCATATTCCTCAAATCTTTATATCTAGAAAAAAAAAAAAATTACATTTTACATTTGCAGAAAATCTGCTTCTTCATCTGTTATGTTAGAAACTATTAAACGAGAATTATCTTATGAGAAAAAGCATCTATTGTTACTCTCGAGCGCATCTTATTATATTTCCAGAGTGTTATACGTGCGATATTACATCACGCGCGCGGTAGACCGGCAATATATATAATTGTAATTACGTAATTTTGCATCAAATCGTTTCGGTTCACATGAATCATGGTTATCATAAGTGATTCACGTAGCCGTAAATAACTTTTTTTATTATTACAAATCAGGAAAAAATCGATAAATAGAGCTACTATTATTTAATATCAGAGATGTTAAATGAGTATGATGATATGTTGTATAATTAGCAGTGTTCCATATTATTACTCAGAATGAAGTTGAAAGTAAAAGAAGGATATTAGTAAATGAAAAGATAATGATAAAATATTTTTATAATATTTTGAAAAAATCAATTTGTAGTAATATTGTGATTATTAAATAATTAATTTAGAAAAATTAAATTAATTCTTTATACAAAATATATATTTGAGGAAGTTGAATTAGAATAGAAAATGAATATAATCGTGAATGAATCATGCAATTGTATTTTTTTTTTTCCTTGACTATTATTGGACATTAACAAGAAAGGAAGATGTTTAATGGTCTAATAAGATTTCATTTTTTACATTTCTCGTTTTAAATTAAGATTAATGCCTTATATTTTTTTTGAATAGAATTAACATCCATTAATTTTTCAATTTTCGAATTATATAAATATATATATTTCGAAAAATATTAAACATTGTAAAACTTAACTTGAAAATTGAACAAAAAAATTGTTGTAAAATACAAATACATATATTAAATCATAATATTCTATTATCGATAAAGAAATGTTTTAGCTAATAAAGATATTTTTTTTTTTATCACATTTCAGACGGATTTAAACGCGCGTACCAAATCCTGCTACACTGGGCGAAGCAGGGAGGTTCGGAAGACAACATCACCGTGGTTGTGGTCCTGTTAACACCAGCGAACGCGATCGCAGCCAGACCTCTAAACGCCCATCCGTACCTTCGTTTACAAGTGAATGATATACTCGAAAAAATGAATTCAAAAGACAAACCGCTCTTTATGGATATCGATGATGCCCATAATGCGATCAACTCGAACATCCTCAAACAATCTATGATCTCTCACGAGCCACGTGACGACGACGACGCTATATTAGCGGCCAGTAATGGAAAACATGAAAATGGCGACACTGATTATGATTATTCCGATTTGGGGCCCGAGACCAACGTAGACGCGATCGATGACGTGACCACTATGCCTGTGAAAAATCTTTCCTACGAATTTTACAAAGACGACGATATTTGCCATGAGGATGGCCAACCCGACAATGACTCGAACATTCTCGACAATAGGGACATCGACGAATCTATCAATGCTAACCTAAATGCCAACACCAATATAATAACGCACGAACAGATCACTGATAATAATTTACACGAAAACGATGATGACGATGATGATGAGGACGATGACGAAGTGGACGAAAACGATGACAATGACAATAATGATGATGAATTGCATCAAGATAACGATGATGTTCCCGATGACGAGGTTATGGTATCTAAAACAGTTGAAGATGATATTCCTGAAAACGAGATAATCTGTGAAAAAATGAATAACGAGATTTGCGAACAACTTATGGAAAATATAGTGGACGAGAAGAAAACGCGTGTGGAAGACCAAGCAGATACGCCACAAGATGTCGTTGATGATGTCGCCGGTCCTGTGGACTATGACGAATCACCGCCATCACCGCAAGCTAACAGTAAGTGTGAACTACAAAGTAAACCACGTTTCTATGAACGACCTATTTCCTCATGGATCGCAAGGTGCGTGTTAGTGTTTGGAAAGTTTATTTTCTTGAGTTTCGTGTCAGTATACGATTTTTCGAGCTTCTGAGGCGAATAGTGAATTTTCTTGATTTGTAGATAAGATCTTGATAAATTTTCTTCGCGATTAAAGTTTTTTTTCGTTTTAGGTTAGTTACTAATGTTTTGGAAATCCAGTTTCAGCGTAAAAGTAAAATTGATAATTAATTAAAAATACTATCTTTGGTTTTTATTTTAATTAGATATATTAATTATTAACTTTGTCGAGAAACACAATCATAATTATTGCACAAATAATGAAAGAATTAAAATAATATTACGTATGAGATAACCTAATATTAGATATTAGAATAGAGTCGATCAAATCATTCTCTTTTTGTAAATTTTATGCAAAAATTTTATAATAGATAGATAAATAGAAACAATATTATTTTGCTCAAAAATTGAAAAAATTGAGTAATTATGAATAAATATTAATTTGTTACCAATATTTTAATATTAATATTATACCTGAAACTGAAAATTTCTAAAAGATATTATTTAGAATAACTTTGTGGACATTTTTATTTGTGGACATATATATAAATATTTTTTGAAGATTCAATGAAATAATTAAATTATGCAGAATATTATGTAATAAATTGCTGCAATTAAAATAGAGATAATTCCCCGTGTAAAATATTTTTATAATTTATAGGAAGAAATGCGAGGAACGGATACGTGTTCGCATTTATAAAAAGAAAAATATTACGCGTTTGATTAATAAGAAATAACGCAACAAAAATAAGTTTACAATCAAGACTAGATTCGTTTTAAATTGAAACAAGTAGAAGTAGATTGTAAAATATAAGTGCTATATGATGAAGCATCTTATGCGAAGGACATATTAATTCAAGTTGATTTTTCTTATGTAGTTTATAAAAGATCTGTGAAAAAATTTTAAAAGTAAAATGTAAAACTATTTTTCTTATCAGTTTTTATATCATTTATATCATTTGATATGGATAGACTTTAATTTTACAGTTTTTTTTATTAATTATATTTATATCTTTTAACAAATAACTTAATCTTTATTAAACATGATTATTATATTATATCATAATTCTTTTTTAAAAAAAAAATATATAGATTTCTTTTACGTATTTTATCTATTTATAGATAGGTAAAAAAAGAGTTATGGACAAAAATTTATTTGCTTTTAATGCATAAAAAATGGCAATAATAAATATTTTAAAAATAGTTTCTTTTTTTTCAAATAAAAAAGATTACTCATTCAAGATTATTTAAGATTATTTATCAACTTAAAGTTATATTATTAGTCGTATATCTATTGAAAAGAAAATTAACTTGATTAATAGTTCTATTATTTATAATTACGAAATTTAATTATTGAAATTTTTTTTATCTTTAATTACAATCTATACAATGTACATATTCAACTTTTTAAATTTATTTTATTTCAAAAACTGTATTATACAATTAAACAATTTTTTTATACATATATTTCTTTGTAAATTATACTTTGTTGTAAATTTTTTTCAATCTTAATTTTTTTTTTTTTAATAATTCTCTAATTTCTTATCGAAGAGAAAAGAAAGGAAATTTTGAATATTTATTCAAAATTTTACGAGAAAAGCACCTGTTTAGTTTTTTGATAAAGCTGCAACATCTCTTTCCATTCGCGTCGAAAGGTTGGATTTCGGTTAATTCAGAGAAACCGGTTAGAAAGAAGGTCGATGCCATTGGATATTTTTGACCATCGTTACGTGAAACTTGCATTATCTTACGCACCAGTAAAGAATTCAGAGAAATGTAATCTTAACTAATCAATATATATATCTTATAAAATTAAAAAGATATTCAGTCAAACTACAAATTGTTAAGTTCAGTCTGATATAAATAATGAAAAATCCTTCTTCTAATTTATATTTTGAAAGTCCACAAATGTATAAAATCTTATAAATCTATTATCTATTTATAAATTAAATATTTCATGTTATTTGAGATATTCTCTAAATCAGCACAAAATTATTTAATAATGATTTTCATATTTGTTAAATTAGGAATTCCTTCTTCTAATTTATATTTTGAAAATCCACAAATGTATAAAACCTTATAAATCTATTATCTATTTATAAATTAAATATTTCATGTTATTTGAGATATTCTCTAAATCAGCACAAAATTATTTAAGAATGATTTTCATATTTGTTAAATTAGGAATTAATTCAAAGTTTTGAAAAATTTTTTCTTAATATAAATTATTAATTTTTAAAAATTCTCAATCATGAAAATAATTATTGTTCAATTGAAATATTTTAAAAAATATTCATTTCTTCTTACTTTTTCTAATTTTTGAATTTCCTTATTTAAAATTGGATTCAAAAATTTGTTTTTATTAAAAAACAATATTATACAACAATCTAAATCCAATTTGTATAATTTTATATCGAAATTCAATGAGAATCGTTTGCTTAAAATATCTGTTAAATCTATAAGAGATATTATTCACAAACATAACCTCAATAATATAACCTCAATAATATATTAAGATAAAATATTAATACTTTCTCATAAAATGTTAATAATTAACTTTTCATTACTTACTTTAATTTCAATGATAATTTACTTTTACTTTTTTTATATGCATAAGTGTAATTATATTTCAAAACACGGCAATAAATTAATTACCATCTATAGTATATAATAATTTTTATATTTTTATGAAGAAATCTTACTTATACGCGATATAAATTATACACGCAAATATTCACACTGCAACGATCAATCTTACGTGAAAGTACTTTTCATATTGATGGATTACCAAAAAAAAAAAAAAAAGTAATCGTGAACTTTCTTAAATTTTCCGCGATAGAATCATTTCTACATTGTAATTTTCTCATCGTCAAATTTGGTCTGACCGGATAATTTGGATAAATTGTCCGATATCGTGCTTACCTCATAAATATGAATGTCAAACGTGGGACGTTCTTTGCTGTTCTCTCCATCGGCCACGATCCCGGCCCACTTTCCGCTGCACTTCGGCTTTCACCACCTTGTGCCAGTCACTGCACTTCCTGCACTGATTGTCATCCTCCGCACAAAACTTCTAATCTTCTTCCGAGGTCTGAATCTTCCTCTATCCCTTCCTTTCTCTTCTACCTACACCTGTTTCCTATCGAAATTCTACTTGTATTTCGTCAATATATATATATATATATATATATATATACACGAATATACCATATACATTCGAATTTAAAATCTTTGCAATGCCAAGATAAAAATAGTTTATAATAATTTATTAGATTGTTCGAAAAAAGAAAGTCTTTTTTATTTGCATGTGATTATGATAGTCAAAAGTATAATATGTAGTTATTTGAAATTTAATGTTGTCATTTATTATCTTTTTAATTATTAAATAATTATAGTTTAAATTATCTGTGAAATTTATCTCTTTTAAATTCATTGTTCATTTGTGAGTTTAATTAAATTAACTCATTGTTTTAGATCTTTTGTTGAAGTAATCTAAGTTGTATCAATAATAATTCGTTAGCACATAATATATATATATATATATATATATATATATATGAAATAATAAATAACATGTGGATTATATTTATTATATTTATTTGATATATAAATATAAAAAACAATTTCCAAGTTTCTTAAATAATAATTAAGAAAAGATTAAATGAAAAAATTAAATTTTGAAAGCATAAATTTCATTATTCTTTGTTTTCTTTTTAATGAATAATATATAATAAAAATCTAAAGTGATCGTTTTGAATTTTGTGATAGATTCTTGCAAGGGGTAATATTTTAAGAGAATGAAACATTGAATATTTTTGTCACTGTGCAACAGGAAAGCGTTACCGACGGTTTTCTTCGAAGCACAGCACGATATTAAAAAAGGAGAACCGTCATGACACTTACGTGCCAAAGAAGCCACGTATGCCGTTCATGTATGCGCGCAGTTATTCACTGTACCACGCCCCTCTTTTTCCATCTATCTAAATTTATCTGGGCATGCAGTCGCAAGGTCGTTTTATTCCTATTATATTTTCTGTGAATTTTCCTAATATTTAATTAATAAATGTTACATTCCGAAACATCATAGTCGAAAGAAAGATAGTTAAATTTTTACGATTGAAAAAATTCGGTGCAAGTGATATACGATTTTTCTATTAAATTCTATTTAAAAAAAATTAATAATTTCTTATTAATTTTTTCGATATAATGAAATCTAGTAAATCTCGTAATGTGATAAAATTATTTTATATAGAAATTTTAAAAAAATTAAAAAATTATTTGAAATATAAAAATTTATAATATTAAATTCTATTTTTATTTTTCCTTTCAAAGATTTGTAAATTATAAATTGAAAATGTAATTTTTTGTTATTATTATTTTTATTTCCATAATATTTCATATAATATTTTAAAATAAATATTTTCATATCATTTTCATAATATTTTCAATGAAATTATTATTTAATATCAGTTTTTTGCTAAGATATTTATTGTAAAATATAATTTTCTTTATTAATTATTATATATTTTAATTTAAAAGTATTAAAAACCTCTTATATCGTTGTTGATAATTGTGCGATTACACGTGCGCAAAATTTATACTGTCAAATTTACCGCCATACAGCAGAAGTATCTCGAATCATCGTCAATATGTATGATTGGACTCGAGAGTCGCAATGCATTTCGATTGGCGCACGAGTGAACAGTCGTTGGCCAATCGTGCGGCATGCCGCGTGGGTCGACTGGAAGGGGGTTCCGGCAGTTGGACTCGAGCCCCGGAGGATTGCGAATGTGCGTCTTCTTTGGTCTTGCTCGAAGTGTTTTCGTGGTGTGAAACCAGTCGGATTTGTGTATTGTGAATTTCGATAAAGTTCGTCGATTATTTCTATTGGGACGTATAT